ACAATTATTATATGTTAATTATTATGTTATTACATTATAGAACACTCATTTTTTTGCATTATTATACGTTACAGTCAACATAGCCAAAGGGCAATGCATCACTTTATCTAAGATTTAACCAGTAGATTTTCATTTAGAATTCCAAAAGTTTAAAGTACAGTATGTTCTCCCACACACTGAAGTCACTGAACCATATTCTTAAAGGGACAGTTCACCCAAAAAATGAAAACTGTCATCATATACTCGCCTTCATGTTTTTCCATTCTTAATTGTATGCACATCTTTTTTTCTGTGTGGAATGCAAAATAAGATATTTTGAGATGTCTCTATAGTGTTTTTTTTTTCATCCATACAAATTAAAGTTAATGAAGTCCAATGTTTTATTAACATGATATTAAAATATATTTTTGTTACACATAAGAAAGAAATGCATACAGGTTTGGAACGAAATGAGGGTGAGAAATGATTTTTGTGTGATCCTTTTCGCACTGATTTTAAACGGTTTTTCTTCTCATTCTCTATCATTTGTTGTAACTTTACACAACTGGAGTCCTACAAACATCTTACCTTTCTTGAATTGCTCCAGCATTGCATCCAGTTTGGTGTCGTTAAAGACACAGTGCAGCGGGTGCTTGTAGAACTGTGTGATGGTTTTTAACGACGTGCAGTCATCTGGATCAACAAAGGCCAGATCTTTGACGAAAAGTATATCGACAATATTAGACCGTTCGTTCTCAAACACAGGAATGCGAGTGTATCCGCTCTGCATTACATCTGACATGGTGTAGAAGTCCAGAATGGCATCCGAGGCCAGCATGAAGCAGTCATTGAGAGGGGTCAGCACATCTTCCACCGTTTTGCTCCTGAGCTCCAGAGCTCCCTGGATGATGTTCAGCTCCTCTTTCACCAGGTCATGATATGGGTCGGTAACTCTCAGCATAGCCAGTAACTTCTCACGGGTGTAGAAGTTGCTGATTTCCTGGTGCAGCATATTGTCTAGGAGTTTGCTGATGGGATATGTAATGGGGAAAGTCAGCAGCATCAGCATCTTGGTTAACCATGCGGTCTTGGACGCGATAGCCAGCCCGTGCCTGGACGCAACGGAGTGCGGCAGGATCTCGCCGATGAAGAAGATGAGAAAAGTGCACGCCGCAGTGGAGACGGGCGTTGCTCCGAGGATCTGGCACATCCAGACCACCAGGAAAGTGTTGGTAAGCACGTTGCACAGCACCAAGGTGCACAGGACGTAGTTGCCGTGTTTGCGCACCGATTCGATCTTGTGCGCGTACTTTTGCTCCTTGTCCGTGCCGCTGTTCTGCAGCACTTTGAGCTCCACCGGGTCCAGCGCGAGCATGCTGATTACCAGCCCGCTGAAGAGCGCGGAAAGCGCCAGAAGCAGCACCGACAGTCCCGCCTGCAGCCACCCGTCCGTATGCGGCGGCCGCTCCACCACCGCCAGCCAGAAGTCGCGCGTCCGGTAGTGCTCCCATTTGATCCCGTCAAAGGCGCACATGGAATAATACTTGATGTTCTCTCCTCTCCGCAGGTCTTTGGCGAGCAGCTCCACCAGGATGGAGTTCTGGCTGGAGGCTGACTTAAAAGATCCGAGGAGCTCTATATCAGAGCTCCTGGCGCTCTCCTCCACGCACAAGTTGCGTTTGGGATGCACCTGCCCCTCTCTGCCCGGCTCCGGTTCTTCTATGAAAGCGATCCACGGCGCGGCTGTGCCACCGGCGCTGCTGACGGTCCGGTTGAGCCTCTGCGGAGATGCTGCATAGTACACGCGTAACATGAACCGCGTCCCTTCGGTGGCCTTCAGCAGCCCGTCCTGCACGGATAGATCTCCTCCCGTGTCCTCCGGTCGGAAGCCCAGCAGCCCGTGGCTCGGTGTGGGGAGAGCGGAGGCGATCAGGAGGAGCAGGGGCAGGAGGCATGGTCCGGGGATGCGGTGCGGGAGGAGAGCATCCGCAGCATCCGCAGCCATGATGCTGAGTGGGTTGTAGAAGGACATTGGCGAGCTGGATCACGTGGCGATGACACACACCCACGGACACACACATCGACTCTGTTTGCCGAGTCAATTTAACAGCTGGAGTCTCATGTAAATAGAATGACACCGCAGTGACGTCATGACGCTTTGCAGGGCTGCGATACTGTAAGGAGCGAGCAGGAAATGTATAGACTACTGTCCAAGAACCGGCCAAAACATCCAGCCAGAGATGATGTGACACGATTTCTGTTTATTTTACCATTGTAAACCCAATAAGTCGGTGGACAGATATGTAAACATAAAGAACGTTCTTAAAAAGGCATTTCTTAATTTAATATTCAATTTAATAATTAAGGTTTAATATAATGTCAAATTGTTTGATAATAAAAGGTATCAAAGTATTACTCTAAAGTAATACTTATTAAAGTACTCTTTTCTTTTTATATTGACAGACCCTTGGCTGGGCGGTCTCTGGGTCTGTGAAGACCGAAAGCTCTCAAATAGCTTTATTAGTAAACCAGCAACACGAGGTACAATTGTATTGAATCACAAATTTTGCATTTAATAAAAAGAAAAAGTTATATTATTATTATTATTATTATTATTATTATTATTATTATTATCATCTGTAGGCCTATATTCTTAGTAAATGCCATGCAATATTTGTCCTTATGGTGGGGTAAATTCAGGTAACGTAAAGTAACGTATCCTTAAGTTACTTACCATCCAAAAAGGCAATAGATGTTCTATTCAAACTCAATGCAAACTCAAGTTTTATGTGGAATAAAAGTTAACGAGTCATAACAATTCATCACCACAAGGTGGCACTACATAACAATTTGCCTGGACTTCGATAACTGAATGATGGAAACTTTTAGACAAGTGATTGTTCTATTTGACTAATTAAATAAAATGTAAAATTGTAATTACGCAAAACACCTTCATAAATAGTGGCATATTTACTACATACATGTACATTTTTTTTCTTCTTCTTTTAAGAGAATGCTTGTACGGTGGCTACATATATTCAAAGACGTGAACACAAACACACAAAACCGAAGTAAGACCGTATGTATCAGTTAAGTTTGTCGATATTAAACATCTATAAGATAATTGTTAGTTAAATCACATTTTATAGCACAAACTTCACCTATTTGCATTTCCAGCCGTTTTGGTTCCCAAAAGCAATAAACTCGTTCTGTGGGGGTTTTTGTTAAATCATTTAGCAAAAAAAAAAAAACTCCATTCGCCAACAGCAGGGTGAAACAATAAGTTGTGGTCTCATAAACACTTACTTTATTCCCATGGGTGTTTGTAGCCAGGCCTCAAGCAGACAGCCGATGGCACAGATGATAGAGAACACCATTCTGAGCAGTTTATGGGTGAGATAAAACTAAGAAAAAGAAGAATTTGGAGATGTTTGGCTGTGTGTGCTAACCACTCTCGTCTGCTCGGCATCACTCGCTTCCACCTCGTAAATCAGAGACAAATATGTGGACCTTTTTTCTTTCTCTCTTATTGTCCACGGCTCGTAGATATTCAGAGGGACCCGTATGCAAAGCCTTGACCTTGTCGACGGTCTGCAGGGAGGGCTCACAGGACAGTTAGCAGGCTCAGGAAACTTTTAACTAATAAGTTATTGATGGTCCACTTGGTTGAAATGTTGCACGTCCTTTAGGAGCTTGATGAAACAGTAGGAGTGCCGTGCTCGGATGGTTTCACTAAAAGACTCAACAATGTT